GCTTTGGAACCGGGAGAGGTCGGGAGGCAGCGTGCCTCTCTCGAGCACCGTTTGGGGGAGAAAAGGGCAAAATGACGGATTTGGGCCAACAGGATCCATAGGGGCGGCGGGAGCGGAGTGTGCGCAGAGAGAGGTCGGAAAGCAGCAGCGTTTGGGAGCGAAGTGGTGCGGGATGGGTGAGAAAAGCGGGAGCGGGGCAGAAACGGAGGAGAGCAGGACAAGGCGTGCGCAAGATGACTTATTTAAGGAGTTTTGCAAATGACTTAGGAGAAAATCCCTCGGAAAATAGGCTGGGGGATAGAAGAGGGGCTTGGGAGTAGAACAAAGTTGCATTGACTTTGTCGCTGTTCCTGGTGGGATATGGGGGCAGCAGCCATGTATAAAATATGATATTAATGCATTCCCTGCTATCTGTTTTGTTAATACTAAAGCAGCCTAAGGCTCCTAAAAGAAAGCTTCAGTCACCACATGGAAACCCACCTTTAAAGCGGAGATGTAAACCTTCAATAAGCTCCTTCAAGAAGTGCGCTGCAGAGGCCGACACCAGGGGAAAGGGAAACTCTTCAAAAAAACCTCTTCCAAAGAAGAAGTTGTCTGATGGCCCCAAGGAGAGCCTGCAAAGCAGACCTTTCATTAAGACCTCTAGCTTGTTTAAAAACAACCCTGATGTCCCAGAAATTCACAGGTAATTTAGACAAGCATGTGGGGGGAACCTTTCTTTGCAACAGTCTTGAGTTCTTGCTCTTGCTTGGGCTGAGACATTACTTGGTACGTGTATTTTCCCCGTATTTACACAGGCTCTTGTCATATACTTTGTAATAACATCATGTGTTTTGTTTTGATTGGTTTGTTTCTCCTCACCCCCAGAAAAGCCGTGCAGCAGGTGCAAGAAGATGTTTTCACTTCAGATTCTTTTGGCGAGCTGGACCTCCATCCGCACCTGGTGAGTGGCAGGAAGGCTGCGTGCTGTGGAGAATGCTGTTTAAGGGGGAAATTTATTCCTGTATTCATGAGAACTTCTGCTGACTCAGTAGCGCTCTACGTGATTTTATTGTCATCTCTCAGATAGGCTGTGCACAATGTGGTGACCGGTGTCCTCTGAGCCTGTGTCTTGACCCATGTCCAAAGACAGTGTCCCAGCACCCCCCACTGCTCCTGTTTGTAATACCAAAAGCATGGAAAACACATTTGGGAGGTCCATAATATATGTATATATATGGTCCATAATATATGTATATATATGTGTGTGTGTGTGTATGTATGTGTGTATATATATACATATATATATGTGTGTATACACACACACATATATACATATACACACACATAGTGTTTTATGATGAACTAGCAGTGATACAGAAGTGTTTTGAGGACCTGGGAACTTTTCCATCTAGCTGCTCTAGGGTAGTGATCCAGAAGATAAGAGTCATTCTTCTCCCCTTTGCCTCTATCTGGTACTTTAAATAAATAAATAAATAAATAAAACCAGTGAGAATTTGATAATGAAACTTGTTTATTACTGTTGATTATCTCTTCAGATATCCACATTAACCACTGTCTTGAAGATATGTAGCATGACCAGGTAAGCAAATCCGTATTAAACTTTAATCTCTGCTACCCCTTACTAACAATTATTTATTATTGTTCTATTATGTGTAATTGGTTCTTGTAGCAATATAGTTGCAATGTAGGTTGCTACTTTCAAATTTTGGAACAAGTCATTGTTGTAGCTAGAGTTGAACTCTCGAAGCACTGGCTCCTAATTTGGTTCTTTGAACATATATATATATATATATATATGTATAAATCTTTTTTTTTCTTTATTATCTTCCAATTTACCTCACCTGATATGTATCTGCGGACTTTCCTTAGAAATTTAGCAGGGATGGATGGCATGGAATTTGGGGTAAACAGTTTTGAAACAGTCTTGGTTTGCTAAAACCTTGGGCTTTTATGTGGTTTGTTGGACCTGTGCTTCCTAACCTGTTTTATTTGTTACGCAGTGTTCAGAAGCAAACGATTCCTGTGCTGATGCAAGGCAAAGATGCTTTAGTGAGATCTCAGACCGGTTCAGGTGAGGATGCAACTGCAGTCTCCCATCCTGGGTCATGTTAAGTTGGATTCCTTAAACAGAACTGAAGCAGCACGTTCTCAGTACAGCTTATGAAAATGACAGTCAGGAGCCTGGCTTGGGACTGCTGTGACACAGACAGGTGCTCAAACGTCTGCAATGATGCAGTGATGGGACCTGATGTACAGCCCCCAGTCATTGCACATGAACCTATTCTAAGGGGTCACTCTGGGGATGCAGATCTAGGGATCCAGTGTCGCTGAGCAGCTCACACCATTACGATAAAATCTTATTTATTTGCTCTACAATAAACCATGTCTCATTTCCCTGGCTCGGTAGAGCTGTTTGTGTGGGTGTCAATGGGATACCACCATCCCTTCATCCCTTGGTGTTACAGCCTATCACATGTCCCTTCTGGAAGAATTCTACTTAATTAGAAAACGTTTCCAAACTCTGACCTCAGTTTAAGTATGATAGGTTGAATGTTACTTTTTAATGCCACTTAATTTGCAGGAGTATTGCACTTTCCATATTTTTTTAATGATGGAAACTTCTCCAATTTTCTCCCTTTTATAAAGGTAAAACTCTTGCCTATGGGATTCCACTTGTACAGTCTTTGCAAGGGGTGAAACCCAAAATACAGGTAGGTGCAACAGAGCTGGATAGATTGGCCTTTGATGGTATGATTAATAAAAACAGGTTAAATTACAGCGTTCTCTTCAATTACGAGTGTTTCTTGTTACAGGGGTCAAACAGTCTCCTTCCCTTTCTTTGCGCATGTTGCTAATATGATTCTTCCATACTTTTGAGATACAGATGATAAAACAACAAAGTGTTACACATTCCTTTTCATGTAGCAGATAAATGCCAACCTGGACTAGGTGGATCTCTACCAGATGATTCTCTGGGTCTGAAGAGCACAAACTTGTACTGAAACTCCACAGAATTCTCTTTGTCAGCTACTAGAAATTAGAAGTGGAAATGCTGTGTATATCAGTGCTATCTGCTTCTTACTGGTCCTCTTTTCTTCTCTGTTTGCAGCGCAGCGATGGGCCTTATGCACTTGTCTTAGTCCCAACAAGAGAGGTAAGTGGCCCTGTTTCTTTTCGATGCGCTCTGAACCTGAGTTTTTGATCATTGGCCTTTTGTGGAGCAGCTTTGGGTCCATTGGGGCTGAGGACCATCTTGGGAAATGGTATCTACCCTTCTGCTCAGATCTTGCCTTACAGAAAGAATATTTGCTTTCTGGGTGAACGTTGTCATTTTTGTTCAGTGCCGTAGAGAAGTAAGGAGAAATCTCTGCATTTTCTCATGCAGTTAGAAATTAATTGGGAAGACTGGGGAAATGCCCTAGCTCAAAATAGGGAAGGGAGAAACTTGCCTAGCTCACATAGAGGAAGTAAAACTAATGAAATCAGCTCAACAAATGTGTGTGTTTATACAAATGTTTTGTGTTTAAAGCCCCTTTTCAAATCTGTGAGTAGATGCTGAAGATGAGGCTACCAAGCATAGCTGGTTTCGTCACTGAACTCTCTTCTGTTTGATTTATACTATTTGCAAATGCAAGGCAATTTCAGAGGAGGATATCAACCTTTTTTCTTTATATATCAGATGATAATAATTTCCATGTGGAGAATTGATTGTAGATACCTAGTTTGCAGCGCAATATTTTAAGGGACCTGCAATGCAATATCTCAGCTCAGTTGCAGGAAAGGAGAAAGCTCTGAGGCTATTTAAATTTTTACAGCAGTAAACTCACTGTTTCACTAGGATGCTGCATGAATATTAAGCATGGGGGAAACAGTACATAAGCTTTAAAAGGCTGCCATTTAGTACACTTAGGGAGATAATTTGTAATTACAGTTTGTATTACTTTGACTTTAAGTGAAAAGCAATGGTCTCTTCTATGACAAGCAATGGTATTATGTGTAGTCAGAGCATTTAAAATAGGTTTACTGCCTTAAGTGAGCCATGTTCATATCTTCATGCTCTATGAATGGGTCAAGGTGGTATCATTGTATTTCCCAGTCCCTTTGCCACAGCAGAAATGGTTTTTTGGGGCAGCACATGAAACCTAAGAGCTGTGTTTCCTCCTGACCAGGTTTTTAGTGCTGCAAGTTGTATACCTGCCATCTCTGTTTTGCAGCCTGGGAAAATAAGAGGTAGAAGGATTCAGGGATGTGATTATGCCATGGAGCAAGTGAGGGAATAGTGCAGCCTGCCTGGACTGTCAAGTGATTGCTTTAACCTCTGGGCTGCATTTCCTATTCAAGGTGCCTCTATTTCAGCAAAATCTATGGCTTCAGCTTGTTTCCCTCCTTGTGCATTCACAAAAGCTGGGAGAAGTCTGTGTCATCAGCAAAATGGGCTTGTTGGGCCAAACCAATGAAGAGATTTTTGAACAGAAGAGAATAAGATAGGAGGCAGCTTCTAAAATAAAAAAATAAGGATGTATTGAAAATGCCAATAATAAACATAAGTAAATTATGTTAGAGTTTTGAGATGGGAAATGTTATAATTATATTTTGGAACCAAAGGGATTTATATTCCATTAGCAGGCTTTTTTTGAACTCATTTTTCATGTTGATCTTCCATAGCTAGCACTCCAGAGCTTTGAAACCATGCAGAAGCTCCTCAAGGTAAGAATTTAATTCCCTGTTTCCTTCTTGTTTAGTCTTTGAGCTTGTTGGATGCTAAGATAGTTCGTTTAAATTCAACTGAGAGTTTAAGGGAATGCAGCATCTGGCAAGATATATGGTCCTTAAAGATGAATCTGTCTGTCTTTAAGTGCGTTTAAGCTTAATTCCCCTGTGGCATATTTTCAACTATTAAATGAACAGTGAAGTAATTAATTATGCTAACTTAGACAGTTGCATGTGTTTTCATAAACATAGTGGATTTTACAGTGTTTTGTTTTCAGTGGTAACTGTTATTTTGCTCTACATTGTGAATAGAAACGCTCAATAGGACAGTATCATTTTACTGAAACTCTAACGCTAGACAGATGGTTTTCAGATGGGGAACAAAACTTGGAAAATTGCTTTGCCAGTTGACTGAGTTGAGAAGTTAGGAGGTTTTTTAAAGTGATTCTGTTGTTGCTTTCATTCTGAGTGCAGAGTATCTTACCCACAGCCTGAAGGGATCTAAATAGTTTATCTGGTCCTTATTCCCACCCATCCTCTATTCTTTGAAATAGTAAGGCACTTTCAAGTTGTTTTTGTTTCTGTCCTGGAATTATCAAGTACCATTTTTTTTTGAGTCGTGCTGGGATTTAAAACACTTCAGTCCTTTTTTTCCATAGCAATTTGAAGTCATGATGAGTGGACTTTTGATGTGGAATTTGAATCTTTTAGTACTGGACAATGTTTTTCCATAAGGACCTCAAGCAGCTGAACGTAATCTTCAAAGAACGATGCCTGGATTGGTGCTCTTAGATTTTTCTTTGTTATGTATAGCTTAGAGCAGCCACAGGTCCAGTTTAAAAGATCGTAATAATCCAAACGAGAAGATTTAGATCACGGTCTGACTGACCTTGGAAGGGCTGTGGGAGACCAGGGGGTGTGTAATTTTCTTTTGTAATTAGTGAGGGAAAAGGAGGCTATTTGAGCTATTCTTGAGACAGTTACACGAATTCCAGCTGCAGAGATTTTATTGTACTGGTCTTGCTTGGACATCTTGCTCCCTATGAGGAGCTCTTTTGTAGACAATTTACATCAGAGCATTTCTGGAAGCAATGACCTGTGCAGACTTGAGCCTGTTTGCCTGTCATGTGTTTGTACAGCCCTTATAATTTGTGCTCTGCTTCTGTCCCACGTTGTTACCCCTTGAGTAAGGCAGTGGCAGTCCTGTGTTTTGATCATCTCCAGTGTAAAAATTAGGGAACACTGGATTCAGTGAAGACTTGGGCCTCATTAAAGTAAATAGCAAGAACTGCCAGTATCAGTGAGACTGACGTTTAATGGGCACAGACATGGTGTGTGTTTGTGGTTGTGTGTTCATATCTATAAACTTTAAAGCTGTTGTTTTTCATGAATCTTGCTTGGCCACAGGAGGATGTTGCTTAAAGGCAAGATGAAGAAATAGTGTTGTAACTTGTCTTTGAACGTTTAGGCTACATGGGAAGAAGAAAAAGAATTATTGTTATCTTACTGGAAGTGGTGCAAAAAGGATTGCATTTCAATCTTCCCAGGGTGGGAAGCAAGTTACAAGGCTAGAATTAAGAGTACCATTGATATTTAGCTGTGGGTGAGATGGTGCATATAGACTTTATCTGATAGATCAGATAAAACACACACTGCTCACAGCCCTGTCCGCTCTGTTTTTGTCAAGAAAAATCAGTTTTGGATTAGAGAGTGTCTCTTTATTAAGAAGATTACATCTTGGTCTTGGTTTTCTTTTCTGTAGCCATTTACCTGGATTGTGCCTGGAGTGCTAATGGGGGGAGAAAAAAGAAAATCAGAAAAAGCCAGGTAGGAAGCCAACTTTTAAAATTGTATTTTGGGTTCCTCTTCTGCTGTACAGCCTTTCCTTTGGAGTGCTTCTTACTGGGTGAGAGGATTGTGACTTTGGCTCAAGCTGTGATCCCCCTGGAACTTACACAGACACAGCCAGCAGGAAGTCTTCCCTTCCCTCAGTTGGGTCTAGTTCTATAATGTTGATGAACCTTCTGAGGAGATGATCCCTTGTGTCAGTAATTTTTTTTTTTCTCTTCTGACAAGCATCTGTATTTGCTTACTATGAAGTGCTGTCTATGGTATTTGTTGTGGGGGAAATTGCTTTTCTGGAGAAAGGATTTAATGGAGTTAAGTCTTGTTCTTTTTCCCCTTTCATAAATCAATTTGTAAGCTAACAATCCAAAGTGGTTTTTTTTTCATTTTTCAATCCATTAGCATAAACAAAATGAACTTACTTTTGAGAGTAAAAAATATTCAATTAAAAAACCTACCTTGACTGTTTTTGGTCTTTTTTTTTTTATGTATTATTGCTTCTTTTCACCTTGTCCTTAGTGTTGAGTGTGCCTCTGTGAATATTGGTGATGATGCAGGATAATATTTAGCTATGCAAGAAATTTCAGTTTTAATTAAACAGAAAGTATTGACTCTGCTACTTTCACTATGGCCACGATTTCTCCTTTGTATATTGAAGTTCCTTACTCTGAGGGGTTGCTGTTATTGATTATCTGTGTGTTTTCTTTATTGATTCTGCACCCCCAACAGGTTACGTAAAGGGATAAATATCCTTATTTCAACTCCCGGTCGCCTGGTTGATCATATCAAGTCTACAGAATGTATTCATTTTCGTCGCACTCAGTGGCTAATTATTGATGAAGCAGACAGGTAACTTCCAAGTTTAAAAATGAACAAGAATAACAAGACCCTCCACATGTACACTGGATAATGTATTAAATATTAAATAAAAAGAGAGAGAGGAAGAAAGATCTTAAACCCTTCATCCTCCAGGGCATCAGCCTAGCATCCAATACGTAGAGTTAGAAAGAAAAGTTCCTTTTGGACAGGTTATTCTACAGCTTTTTATTGCAGAGATTTTCACACTGTCTTCTGAAGTATCTGACCATGGCCAAAGTAGAAAATTGAATATGAAGCTAGACGGACCCAAAGGTCTCATCTGCTCTGGTGCTTTTTGTGTTTCTAATTAGCTTGTGCAGCCTTAAGACTTTCTTCTCTTTATTCCTTCCTATGCCATTTTTTTACCACGTTTTCCATTTTTGCAGGATCCTGGACCTGGGCTTTGAGAAGGATATTGCTGTGATACTCAATGCTCTAAATGCCGAGAGAGAAACACGCCAGAACGTCCTGCTCTCAGCCACTCTCACAGAAGGTGACTTAATGACAGATAGTGTCTCCTTTAGCTTAATAATTCACAGGCAATTGCAAAATGTTTGGTTGAGTCTAGTTATGTTTTGGCTCAGGCTGAAGAACTTTGCAGTAAGTGGGATATTGCTCATTAATTTAATTGGCCTTACAACACTTGTCTTTCGCTACTGGGATTTCTGTCAGCATATGTTTACATGGTTCTTACAGGTCACATAAATTCCAGTGCAAAGTCACCAAGGTCCTGGGGCACATGGTCTTTTTGTCTTACAGATAAAGTGATTCACCACTTCTCACAGGAGTTACTGTAGTTGTTATTTATGTGATTGTATCATTACCAATTGTACCCAAGATGGGGCTCATGAATATTATATTTTCTGTGGTTTAGGAGTAACACGGCTGGCTGATATCAGTTTGAATGATCCCGTCAGCATTTTGATAGCAGATAAAATCCAGGACAGGCTCCAACCTGCATCACAAGAAGGTAAAGAAGCCATTAGTTCATCAGCCTTCATGGACCAGGAAAACTTTGCTGTTCCAGAGAAGCTGAAGCAGTATTTCCTAATGGTCCCCAGCAAACTGAGGCTTGTCACTCTGGCAGCTTTTATCCTTGAGAAGTGCAAGGTGAGACTCTGTTTGCATTTATGTCACTAAGTGGCTCTTTGTCCTTTCCAACTCCTCTACCTCTTTCTTTATCAAGGATAGCATGTATTAGATCTAGGACTTTGAACTGCATGTACTATACAGTTAGCCACGAGAGAGCTGAGCTGTTCTGAGGTCTTTCATGCTGAAAAGCGGGATACCTTTGCCACATACACTCCTGCTTCTTTTGTGGGCTTAGCATTTGCTGTCAAACTTCATCGCGTATCTCCCTAAAAAGTTGCATCTCTAGAAGCGAATCAGATATCATAAGATCAAGGAAGTGGCAGAGGATTGTGAAATCAGTGTTGTGTGATTTTCTTTTTTCTTTTATTCTTTTTTTTGCCTTTCTTGCAGTTTGAAAAACGCAATAAGATGATTATCTTTTTCTCCAGTTGTGAACAAGTGGAATTCCACTATAAGCTTCTCCTAACAGTCCTTTCAGGAGGTCCAGAATCTGAACAACATGAACATTCATCTGTCTGCTCTACACACCTCCAGTTTCTACGACTGCACGGCAGCATGGAACAGGAAGTAAGCGTTACTGAAAACTGGAGATACCCTGTTTTGTTCCTCAGTCCCTATAATTTATTGTGTGGTTATTCTGGGGAGGAGGGCAGAAGAGAGGACAGAGAGTCATTTCACCTCTAGAGGCCTCACTCTTCCATCTGCTTAGGAGAATAAGGATATTGGCCCACTTCTGGAAAGAATTTTAGTAGCTGTATCAGAAAAACACAGCTGAAGAAGCAAAAGGTGTTATTTCAGCAGGCTGAGGCAGCCGCTCAGTATTCCCAGTGGGCACACTTAAAACATTTATGTATCCATGCGCCTCTCTCATGCAGTCAAAAAGTGCTTTTAATACCAGAAAGAACCTCATACAAACCCCAAAACACTGTCACCTAATAAATTGTAGCTCATTGGTAACTGTTTTTTTTTTTTTTTTTGAAGTGTATCAGTAGGCAGCTCTCTTCCCTGGAATGGGACAGTAACTCTGGGTTTTAGCAGGATGGTTTTGGATGATTAACACAGGGTTTGCCACAGTAGAGTATCACATAAGCTGTTACTGCAGTGGCTCTTTCAGTAGCTGAAGGAGCTCCCTTGAAAGTTCATCCCTTGGTCCTGCTCTTGGTCTGTACTGGGGAGTTACTCTTCTACTTGGAGCTACACGGCAGAGATGCCAAATGAATAGAGCTCTTCTGATGAAGCCAGAGGTGAAGAGCCATTGTTTTTCTCACTCATTCCCATCCTGTGGAGACCAGAAACATGTGCTTCGTTGTCCCTGCGTTCTGGCCTTTCCTCAACCCGCCTGCCTGAGCGAGTGAGCAGGCCTGGGCTGGCCCAACTCTACCCTGACCAGCTGTTAAGGCAACAGAACACCACTAAGTAGCTGGCACCAGGGGAAGGGTTTTGCCTTTTTAGTACCCAGTGTGTAATTAGTGCTTGATGTCTTCAAATTAAGAGCATTAATGGAGCTAAATTGTGGATCCCATATGGTACTGCTGAGCACGGCTGCTGTCATTGTCAACAAGATACAGCGTGCTCTCTTCTTGAATTTTTGTCAGCAGAGGGTTCAGTGTGTCAGCAAGGCCCAAGTTTCCCTTTTCTCTTGAAGATTACATCTAGCTGGAAGTGGAGTGTGTAAGATTTCTCCTATACCATCAGTATAGCAGGCCTAGCCAGAGCTCGAGGAAGAAGGCTGGGAATATGGAGACAAGGATATTCTGGAAGGAGATGGAGGAGGGATAAGCAGAAAACAGGTATTTTTTGAAGCCTCAGGTCATTTGAGCTATGGAAATGGAGAGAGTAAATGGAATAGGCAATGTGTATGTGGTCAGTTCCCTTAGCTCGAGAGCAGAAACGTGTGAATGGGTGGTACTGGCAAGCATGGAGATCAGCTGCTACTCAGGCCTCTGGTTACTGGTGTGCAGAGTTTACCCTGTTTGACAGCAAATGTCATAAGAGCTGGATAATCATTTTCTATTGCTTTTATGAGGAAAAAAATATCCTGCCCAAGAATTCTGTGGCTGTTGCTGCCTCCTTACGCACCCACAAGTGGGGATCTCTGACCAGGCCCTTCTCCCTTCTGTTGTCTCTGTTCGGAGGTTCTTATCCCAAAGTAGTTCCCAGGGGAGACTGGGTCACCTCTGAGCATCCACAGTATCTGGTGGGTGCATGGGAGTCTCATGGCTGTTTGAGTACCCCATGGGCACCTGATGGGACCGGTGTCCTGAGAGGCAGCTGTACCCCCATGTGACCAAAATGGCTTTATCCCCCAGACTGGACAGATGCAAGTCCAGGGACACTGTAGACCCAAGGTCAACTGCAGATCTTGGAGTGAATTCCTTTGCTTTGGAATCTAAACATGATATAATGAACAAAGTACAGTAATTAAATTATTACATTAGCTAATATGCTTTATGGCTGGTTGTAATGTGCACATTTTTTTGCTTTTCTTAATCGTCTAGGAAAGAACTGAAGTATTCCAGGAGTTTCTAAAATCCAAGACTGGCATCTTGCTTTGCACTGTAAGTAACATACATTCCTTCTGCAGCTCCACACTAATGGGCCTGCCTGATATCTAATGGTAGAACAGAGGAGTTGGCACTGAGCTCTAATTCTAGCTCACCATCTGACCTTGAGAGAAGTCATCTCCTTTTGCTCATGTGAAGTAAAAACTGGTGCCCTCTATAAAAACAATTCTATAACCTTTTGCTGTAAGGCACCATATTAAAAAAAAAAATAGTGTATATCCTCTTATATGAGATCCTCCTAGTATTTTGCATGGCCTTATGTCTGGAAAAATCTGTTCATTTGAAGCTGGAACTTTGCCCTCTGCATGCAGTCAGTAAAAAGCAATCCTAATTTGTAGCCTGGCCCATAACTGCCAGGTAAGTTGCATGTAATGTGATGTTTCCCATCTTAATGACTACCCCAAGGTTAAAAACAAAAGCCTGCAGGGATGGAAGGGGAGCCCAAGCAGAGGACTCTGTCATTAGAAATACACATGCTTTGCTGCTCTCCATGTTTTGCCCTTCAAGCCTCCTTCAAGGGTGCTGAGGGAGAAATTGTCCTCTACTGAAGTTTGCTGGCACCCTTGTGTTGTGGTGGCACCTTCCGCGTCTCGTTTCTGACCTGCGGGTGCCACAGCTAGCCTGCTGCAGTGGTGCAGAAGGCTGCACGATTTGCTCTCTAATAGTGGCAGCTGTTGATCTGAAAATGTGTGAATCTTGGCGATTTCTACCCACCGCAAACTTGTAAATTACAGCGATCGGGAGTAATTAGAGCTGAGAAACCCTCTCCAGCTCTGAAATGACTCCTGCTTTTACAGTACATACTCTTAAAGGAAACTAGTTGCCTTTTTTTTTTCTTTTTTCCTTCTCTCTGAGTGGGCATTTTCATTTTATTTTTATTGCCTACAGATCAAAATAGGATTGGCATGTGTGTAGAAGTGTTTGACTTAAAATTACCAGGTGATGTATTGTAGCACCTGTAAAAATGGACTTGTTCCATATTAGTCTTGGCCCTGTGTGTGTACAGCCTTTGCATTTTGACCTTGATCAGACCACTGCATCTTTGCAGTGCATAACTAAGTTAATTTCCTGCTGTATGGAGGTAAAACTTCAGGCTCTCAGCCGAGGAGGACAGCAAGGGTTATTAATTCAGTGGTGTAGATGAAGTGTTGTGAAGGTAAAATGTTTTGTAAATGCTAGACTTTGTTACTCTTCATGCACACGCTAACAAGAATGGGAAATTTCAAGGATGTGTCTTGTTACTGAAATTTCAGTTTACTGATTTTAGAAAGACTGAGAAGACTCAATTTTAGACAAAGACAAAGCAGAATCATTATAATGACTATCTTGTGTTTCACTGCCATGTTGGTTCCTGGATGAAACAGCTTGAAGGGAAATGCAGCTTCTTCAGGAAAAATCTGCCAGGAAATGTGCAGCTATTGACAGGATATAAAGAAGAATAAACTGAATAAAGCAATGTCAGTGAATGGAAACCCGTTTGAGGCGTTGAGGATATGGTTTGGTTTATTGCCATGCCACTGACTCCACCAAAGTGGATGTGGAGTTGCGATGGCTATGCAGGTAGCCACATGTCAGCTGAGCACTGGTATTTTGCTCCTGACCTGTCATAAATGGAAGGTAATGTGAATTATTTTGGATTGCAGTGAAGAAAGTGATGTAAGATGGTGCATTTATCATAACCTGCCTTTCTTGTAATCTAAGCTACTTCGCATTTACTGCAAGGCAGGAGTGCAAGTGTACGCAGTTACTGTGGCTCAGCTGGCATGTGGTTAGTGTGTTAAGCACAGTAAGTTGAACGCTTGGGTCCAAAATCTCTCTGTGCTTCAGCTCCCCTGCAAAATGGGGAAAGTAGCACTGTTTTACCTTACAGAGATGTTGGGAGGACAAATGCATTGAAACCAGGAGGTGGCCTGTTACCACAGTAATGGGGACCATATGGACACCTTAATATAGAGATACACTTTGCACTAGTCCCACATTACAGGTGCCTCCCCAACGCAGATGTCCAAAGGGCAGCCAGGCACTGTGACCACCTCCTGCCTCGGAGGGCAGGGTTTTTTCTGACATTGTTCTTTGTATCAGCAAAAAAAAAATGTTTTTGCAGGAAGATGGTTCTGTCCTTTTCACCGTGGAATCGTGTATGTGAATTTGTGCCCACAAAATTTTGAAACGTGGCTCACAAAAGACCAATGCAAATAATGTTACTGTCCTCTCCTTGTCCCTTATGCCATGTTCTCCACCCATCTTTCCGCTCTAGTAAGCAATGGGACCTGCTGTTCCTTTTATTAATTTGCTCTATGTCATATGTATATTAATATATTCCATAAAATATTTTTGCCAAACAAAGTAGGCTGGCAGACATGAAAATAAAGAAGGGCCACATATCTCAGAGGGTCTCATCCAGATTTATTTCTCTCTCCTTCACTGAAGTTCTTTGCAGCTTCCTTTGGGATGTGCCTTTTAAACAAGTTCATCTCTTCCAGGGAGAGAGGAAAGATCATTTGGAGATTGTTTGCTGTTTACTCGGTCACGCTAACTCATCTTGCCAGTTTTCTGGCGGCCCCAGCCAAGAGCTTTCGCCTCTGACAGCTTCTGTGCTCTCTCCTTCCTCCTCTGATTACGCAGCCCAATCTGTCACCCTGCCGACGGGGGTCTCTACCCTGCTGATGGCTTTCCACACTCAGCAGTAATGACTTTTGGCAGGCCGGGAAGGCGCGAGAGCTTCTTCCCCAGCTTGGAGAGCCGTTAGGCCCTCTCTGCCTGTTAGCTAAAGCACTTTGTGAGGTTCTTTGGTAAATAAATGAGTCATTTTAATCCAACTGACAGCCTGGCACCTGAGCAAGCTGCCTTCCATCTGTACTTCTAGGCCACATGTAGGCAGCCAATTGTCAAGCGCAGGGCCTTCAAGACCTCACCATTGAGTGTCTTTCAAAAGCAACTTTAGCAATTTCCTTTGCCCTAATTAGGTTGCACGTGGGAGACTGAGCAAACCAAGGCCCTCGTGAAAGTTTTGTGGCCCTGCTGGTTCTGATGTTCTGCAGCAATGGGCCTGGCGTTCTGCGTAGCCTTTTTACCCTCCATTCCCTTGCCTTGGTTCCTCACCACTCCTGTCCCAGGCAATGAGTATGTTTGGAAATAAGAATTGTTAAGAGCAGAAATGTCAGCAACTGTGAGGGTCCTCGTGTGGGTTTTGCCTTGATATTGGGCCTTTCTGTGTCTCCCAGTTGGGATCAGGCCAGGAACGTGGTTAAGGCTCCTGGTTATTGTGTTGATCAGTGTCTGGGTTTTCTTTAGAATTGCACGGATGTAGTTTCTTTCTCTTTACTCCTGTGAGATAGTACGCCTTAATGCTCCTTAATGCTCCACTGAAAGGAATTGGCAGGGAGTTGTTGAGGGTGGTGTTTTTGGAAATGGTTGTGCAAGGTCATATGTTGAAAGGGGAATGCCATCTACATTGCATTTACAATGCAATGTGAATGCAGCAAGGATGATAAATGGAAAATCCGTTGGGCTTCTTGGGGATCATTGGCAGCAGCCACATGCTTTTGTGTATAGGATAAACGTAGCACTAGAAAACTGAATAATTGTTGCTTGAGCTATTTCCTTGTTAGATGACCCAAAAGCATCTTCTGAAGATTTGAGAAGCAAGAAGCTTATGGGTTTTTACCAGCAGAGGAAGGCAAATCAACTGTGACTCTCATCCTCATTTGGCTTTGCTGTTGTCTAGCAGGAACTTTGAGGAAAAGGATATGCAGGAAATGCAGGCAGACTGATACTGAGGAGTCTTTAAGAGACTGCAAAACACTCCAATTGCCAGTAAATCCCAAGATACTTCTGAAAGAAGGCCAAAGTAAAACCCAAGAGAATAACTACTGATATATGTCAGTAGCAGCAAGTGGAGCTCACAGCTTTGTGGAAGCAGCAGTGAACACAAGGCTGATGATGGGATCATGCTGCCTCCTAAAAATGTCGTTCCTGGCTATTCGTTAGGCTGTCAGTTAACCTTTCAGCTCTTGTATTTGCTTTGGCAAATGTACACCTGAGAAATCCTGTGTTGGGCAGTGTTTTATAGCCAGAGGTGTTGAGAAAAGGTGTTTTGGAAGTGGGGCAGGGGAAGAACCCTTGATGGCTGAAGAGGTTTGGCAGCCTTGGGGTGACAGAGAGGCTCCTGCACCCTGGTCTGCTCTGACCCTGTCCCAAGGTCAGAGCCATCTCATCAGCCACAGCCTTTCTAGACCACTAGGTACGAGAAGGCACAACATGAAGAAAGAGTGAAAGCCCCCGACTGTTCAGCACGGAAACGCACGACAGAGCCAAACCAGAGTCAGCATTCAGCACTCCTGTTTGATCGTGCTGTAGAGTTTATAAGCCTGTTATCCTGGTAACTGCCGCACATGTTTCCTGAATTCTCTTGATTTATTTTCTCCAACCTCCTTTAAATGGCTTTTTGTGCATCTGTTCATCTGACTCTGGGAACAAGTCGTTTCTTAATGAGTGTGCTGGAGCCAGAGCGTGCATTGTTTCAGAGTGGGCGCTGCACAACGTGTCTCCTCTTCTGCACTTGGAGCCCCAAAGCAACCTGGCTAGTGCTTATGGAAAGGCCTTTGCTGCCAAAACATCAGCTTCTCCTAGTCTTTTAACGTGTGTGGGAGTTGCATGAAAACACTTCAGTGGGTGGCTGACACATTTTTAGTACATTAGACTCCTGCTTACGTTCTTAATATATTCTATTTTGCAACTAGCTAAAAGATACACGTGTTCCAAAACATTTCCTAACAGAGTTAAATCTGCACACCTGCTCTGTATTGTGTGTGGTGAATGTAAAATCCAAAGAGTATGTGAGGACATTACTAATGAACAGAAAATCAAGAAGGAGATTGGAACACCTTTGCATGCTTCCTCTCTTCGTTGAGCAGTATTTAAGCTCTCCTTTCTCCTTGAAAGGATATATTTTATGAACTGTACTGGCTGTGGGTAACTAGCAGGTCTCACTCACGACCTTCTCCACATTGATAGGTTTTCTCACCTGCTGGCACATCAAATAACACTCCTGACAGCACCTTCAGAGTCTTTTTCTTCAGGGTTGAGTTTTGTTTCTCCAAATCAAAGGCAGCTTGGTGCAAATCTAAGGGGTAGCTGAAGTCTCATCTTTTTGAGTTGTTCTCCAGCTTCCCGCAGTTTCTGCTAAGTTGTTTATTGGCCCTTTCATCATAGGGCTACCTGACATGCAAGTCATCTGCTCCTCAACTTCAGGTCTATCACCTGGGAAACAACTAATTAGTTACAGGTGGAGATCAGTGCACATTTGGATATGCTGCTCAAGGCCTGGGATTCTTCATCATTTGCTTCATAGCTGTTTTTTTTTTTTTTTTTCCCCTTTTTACCTCTAGCAGCTCATTTTTAGTTCTTGGGCCTGCTCTGGAGAAAGTTGTCCTTAGAACTAATGTTGCTTTCCCAAGGCTGAACTCAGCCTCTCGATGATTAGTAGGTGTCTACAAGCAGGTCTCTCTTCCTTAGTGAAACAAACTGAGGAAGCATTGCCATTAAGATAGCAGGTTGTATGCTGTAATGTAAAGGAACTGTAGCAGAGCGCTCTAATTCAAAAACACTCTCCTGAAATGGGTATTTTTATATCCTTCAGCCTTTGGTCCATAGTAATAGAACTTACTATTATTATGTTAGACTGTTAAAAATCCAAGAAGAGGTATAACTTTGCCAATATTTTCAAAACATTATTGCCTCAGTAATTTCCTTATTAATTTTAAAGGATGTTGCAGCACGTGGACTAGACCTGCCTCAAGTTACGTGGATCGTACAGGTGAGTTTTGTGTGTGTCTATGAGTAAATCCATGTTAAGTGTAGGATTGCTCACACTAAATCCCTTCCCAGTCCACATCCTCTTTCTGCAGTTGAATTGTCTTTGCTGATGCCTACAGATATGGCAGACCCATGGGTTCCTAACAGCAGAACTTGGACCAAGTTTTTGCTGAGACATGTTGTGTCTATCATGTTTTTGATTTTGACAGTGTTTTCCATAATTCAGGTACTATGAGTTGTGTATACCTTTTGCTGGCTGGGAAGAAACACCAAATTCTTTCAAGTTAGATTTTTGTTGGGCTGGAGCTGGGGTTAGGGTGGGCTGTGAGCACTCAGGAGGACTGAATGGTTCAGATCTCCCTGGGAAGAAAAAAAACTGACTACTTTGGTATTGACAGAATTGTTCTTTTTTGTTTAAAAAAAAAAAAAAAGGAAGGGGGAAAGAAAGACAGAGAGAAGGATTGAACCTTAAAAACAGCAATCTATAACTTCAAAGAAGAAGTTGCAGGCATGAAGTAGATTTCGTTTTTATTTAAAAAAAAAACGAAAAATAAATTTTAAAAGATTAGTTGAATTGGAAAATTTAGAGGAAAAACTGACTCAGAGATTCTCACATATCAAGTGATATCAGGCTAAAAAAGAGCGGGGCACAGAGCCTGAACAAAGCAGCCTTTTAATTTCTATCTCATCCTTTCAGGTGACAAACTTGATTTTAATTTTGTGCTTAAAAAAAAAATGTAGGAACTAGTTAGAGAAGGCTGGGCAAGTGAAGTCTTTAATTCCCAGATCTGTATATTAATATAATTTAACCAAAGATATGTTTGCCAGTGTTAGAACGTAGTGCAAATTACCTAAAGCCCTGGGAGACTTCTGTGTGTCCAGAAGGCGAAATCTCAGCTGTCCTGAGAGCTGTGTCCAAGAGCAAGGACCTGCAGGGAGCAATTAGATTGCTCACAGCATCTTACTCACACCTCTAGCCAGTAGAAACTTTGCCAGAGGGCACAGGTATAAACACTAGAGTGGGCTTTGGTTGTTGGGTTTTTTCCAGTTAAACTGCTGAGGGCTCATTTCTAAGCAGTAGCTCTGTGCTATGTTCATTTCTCCAGGAAAGGGAGAAGGGGGGAAGAGTAGGGGGAAGGTTAAAGGGAAGGAAATGTCATCGGATCTTGCAAATGGCTGGACATTTTTGATTCCCGGTGAATTAAATGAGGCACCGTTATATTAGTGGGGACTTTAAACATTTCCATAGTGCCTGGTAGTCGTAGGTGGGAAGACAACTGCTGCCTGTATCATATGCTGCTTAAAGGACTTATTCCCCCATCTACCCTGCATTTCCCTTTCCATCCAGTAACCAGTCTGGTTGACTTTAATCAAAACAATTTAGTCGACCTCTGGATTTGAATCTGTTGTCTTTTATTTTCTGTCTTTCCTTCCCAAAACGGAGCAGACAGCTTCGCGCTCTGTGCGGCCATTCCTGGGGGTGCTTTGGGCTGAGGTTTTTGGGGGGTTGTTTTTTTCTTTTTTCTTTTTAAGGGAAGCAAACAGGTTCCTGACGTACATGCATAGAAATAAAACGTAAAAGGCAAAGAGAGACACTGAGATGGGGAAACTGTCCTATTATCTGAAAGTCGGCCAATGTGTCACATTCAAATGTCAAAAAACTGCTGTGGCTGAGGGGGTTGAGTGATGGTTACAGGGATGAGTCCAACGGGTTCCTGATAAACAGCCCGCTTCTGCGGGAGGTATGGCATATGGGTTCTGCTAAGATCCCTTTTGTTTCAGATGAGCAGACCAAGTGTCTCGTTTATAATTAACACGCTGCGTTCTGTTAATTCCTCCTTTCCCTTCTCATGTTCCCTTTTTGAAGTATAACGCTCCGGCTTCACCTGCGGAATACATCCACCGGATTGGGAGGACGGCTCGCATTGGCTGTCACGGGAACAGCCTGCTTGTCCTGGCGCCTTCGGAGGCAGAATATGTCAGCTTGCTGGCTTCTCACAAGATTAAGTGAGTCAGAAACGCGAACAAAAGTTTCAGCTCATCCTCGCTAATTAACCTTCCATGGCACTTGCAGCGGGACTGTAGCTCGTGCAGGTTTTAATAAGAATTTATTAATTTTTGTGATCCAGGACCAGCCCCAGAATAGCAAAAGGAGAGAAGGGAAGCGTGTGAAAATCATCAGCCTGACAGATTGCGAGCGCGTGTGCGGCGAGGGGCAGAGAGGAGACGGTAGCCGGAGATCCTTTGCACTCCGTTGTTATCTCTGTGGCCCTGGGTTCAAATCATGGCTACGTGGAGATCACAAGTCAAATGAGCCTGTCAAATGCTAACTGGCCATCTGCCTGCAAAGCACCATATTGTTGGAGATTGTGCTCTCTCTTCAGGAGAGATCCGGCAGCGAAATAGCTAGGGAGCTGTGGGTCATATCTGGCAGGTAATTGGCCAAGATTTGCTGTGTAAGTGGCTTGTGACAGGAATAGTAGAAGTTCTTGAACATGGTCAGTGCTCGATATGGCCCTGGAAGGCCCATAGGGAGGGGGACTGCAGATCAGAAGTGAGATGTGCTCCCAAACTAGCTGAAAAAGCTGCTCTGATAGCAGCTCTGGCTAGGATGAGAGTAGAGAGTAAGGAGAGCAAGCCAAGCCAGTAAGCAGCAGCCCAATATGCAGACTACCTATTTGGTAGCCAACACATGAGGCAGTTTTAGGCCAGCTCTGCTAGCGCCATGGCCTGTCCTTTTTTTTTTTAAAAAAAAAAAAAAAACACACACACACAAAGCCCAGCATTCTCTAGTCAGAAACGCTCTCAGGTCTCAAGGCTCTTCAGCAGCCGCTTGGATTTATGTGCTGCCTCTTGCTCCCTGCATTGCTGCCTCTTGGTATTTCAGAACAACAGCCTAGTAAAGTCCCTTTAGTGTTGTGCTAGTGCTGATGGAGCCCTGTAAACTCGTGCACAAATTAGTTCCTTTTTATTTCTTGTGTTTGTCGGGTGGAGCTGCTTGGAGTGGAATTTGGTTTTGCATCCTTGAAATAAACAAATGTTGGCAGTAAATACGGGCTTATTCTAGGCTGTGAGCCATTTAGTGGTCTAACAAAGAGCCATCCATCATCCCAGGTAACTATCTATTAAGCAGACACCAGCAAGGCATGGAGGGCTAAGCTGACAGGGCTTTTTTCATGTAACAAACAGCACTGACATTTAAAGGTGAAATCCCACATAATTGTGAATTTTTAACTCTGAGTGGAAAGTTCTATTTTTTTTTGTTGTTTGTTTTATAATATTTGGGAAGTGTTGGAGGAAGGAAATGTAAATTCCCCTCTTTTTTTTTTTTTTCTTTCTGCCTTCCCCTTTGCTTTAAATGTTAATGCTTTGATCTGATTTTTGTTATTTTTAACAAATTTAAGGAGCGGTGTCATCTACTCCTGTTTGTAATTATGGCTGCTAAGGAGACCTGTTGTTAAGCTACCTGCCATTCTTGGAGTCTTTGGGAGGCTGTGGGAATATCTTCCTCCGCTTCTCCCTCGCTCTGGGGATTTGTCTTTTCCCATTTGTTTGTTTTATGTTCCTCATAAAAAGTGCTGCCCTGGCAATAAGGGACTTGCCCCCAAACAGTACAATATCTCTCCTTTGAGCCCAGACTTCAGATCAGAGGAAGGAGAGGAACTAATTGGCAGGGACGGGTGGTTGGGCCCGTTTGCAGCCGGGCGCCCCGTGCTCTTCCCGCATAGCGCGAGAAGGGGCGGCGGAACAGGGAAGAGCGCTGATGAATTACCGAGGAGATGCGGGAAGGCAGCTTGGAGCTAAAGGCAGCAAGTGCCATCAGCACAAATTGCCGTTACCCTTCATAAACAGAGCATTATGGTGATAATCCTGACAATTTAATTCAGCGCGAGGGCGAAAGGCAGCATGTGTTGGGCTGTCACCGATCCTCTTAAGCACTGATAATTTCTGTTTCTTCATCCTAAACCTTTGTCGCTTTTGACTTGGACTGCACAAGTTGCTGGAGTTTGCTTTTTAAAATTAAGCAAATACATAAATTTTTTTAAATCCGTTGTTTTATGTGAGGGGCTGTGTGTTTTATGTGTGTGTGTTGTGATTTTTTTTAATTTGTTTTTTTCTTTTTTAAATGCAAGTCCCGCTGGGTTTATTGAAATGTAAATACTTCATAAAATATGTATTTCTTAGAAGACAAAGCATGAGACAGGTCCCTGTAGTCTTCAGTCTTCAGCTGGTGTAAATGCCACGCTGATGAGCACTAGATGAGGATCTGACCCGGAGTTTTTCTTAGACCCCTCCACCCACCCCAGTGTGCATGGGAGTAAGTCCAGAAACGTTGAGAGTTGGAAGTAATGAGAGCAGACGTGGCTTTGTTTCTGGATGAAAATCCACTTCGGAATTAGGGATGACTGCCTTTGAAATTGGAAATCGCTGGCAATTAATTTTCACCAGTACCTGAAGCCTCTCCTTGGCTTCCACTGCGGCAAAGCAGCGTTAGCCCTTGCCAAAGCGATCTCACTTTGGCTCTGCTGAGAACTGCAATTCCCGGTGAGGCTTCGCTGCAACTTTCCCATCTTCGGGTAGCTTGAAGTTGTGGCTCCTCCGCCTCCCTGTAAACGGGTGCACGCATGTAAATGCACGCTGATGTTTTACGTGAATTTCGTCTTTATTTTTTTAAGGTTAGATCTCAAATGTTCTATCTCAGCGCTGTGTGTAACTAACAGGTTTTGCTTCAAAAGAAGGAGGCAACAAGGCAGAGGAAGTCAGTGAGGTTGACTGTTCCCCCACCTTTTTTGCTTACGTCTCTCTGAGCTCCTTCAAGCGCAATCTCGCAGCGCCCGCCTCGACAGCTACCAGATAATTTCTTCATCTCCCACCAGCGGCCTAACGAATTCCTGAAGGGAAGCGGGGCGGCATGAAGGCTCGAGCGGCTCCCAGGCCGGCGCCCCGCGCGCTGCTCCCGCCATGAGGGCCGAGGGGGTGACGCGGCTCGCGCAAACCCGTGTCAAAGGGCTGATGTTCTCATTCACGACGGCAGAGCTGCCTTGAGGGTGTGGGGAGGAAGACTCTTCCCTTGCTGAAGTGGTTGCGCACGTATGTTTTAATTTGCCGTTATACTTTCCAAAAACGGAGGAACCCTCAGTCGTCGTGCTGCGCTTCGTTTCCCACTCTTCCTGCATTGTTTCCCTCCACCTTTCTTTCTCTTTTTACCCTCTGTGCAGGAATCTGCTCTATGGAAGGTCCCAGCTATGCAAGGATGGGGCTGGCCTCCCATATAGGCCGCAGTGTGGCCGTGCTTCGAGGCTGCCTGGCTATTCCTCTGAACCAGCTCTTTTCCTTTCCCTGCATTGAGATGGTGAGGTGGCTGGAGTTGAAAAAGCAGATTGCAAAAGGAAAGGTGTTGATCCCAGCATGTTTCACGGGGCCGGACTGGGGAGCAGGTCGGGATCGTGGTGTCCTGTTACGCAGAGTATGGGAAAGATTCATCCGTTCCCCCTAGTCAGGAGTTCTGAGATCTTTGGGTGAAACGAAAGGGGAGGTCCTTGTTGTTTTCATTTTGTTCTGTACTTAGCAAGTTGATGATCAGCAGTACTGCCTTTCTGAAACCTGTGCATACTTCTGGCCATCTGTGAATCAGGAGGAGTCTGAGAATCCTTTGGCCTCTAGTTTTACCTCTTCCTTAAATTGATGTAGACTCAAATGAACTCTCTGCCTTCCGTACAGTATTTATGATTTATGCTGGTGTAAAAATCAGTCTATTTCTTAGAGAGGTCCTTTGTCATTGTTGAAATGCAGCAACTTGGAAATTTGGGTGGGCAAACTTCTGTCTTTATCTTATGAGCAATTTGTGGGAAATGGGACCTAGTTTGGATGCAGCTGTAACACCAGTGTCCTGAAGCTGCACAGCTGTCGCTCCATGTGTGACCTGGTGTATGTGCTTCAAAGATGGTGCTCAAGAGGATGAGGAATTTCTAGTCTCCTAAATGCCCATTTAAGTGGGACCACTTGCATGCTTTAAGATGAAAAGGTTCCTAAGAATTTGCAGAATCTAGGCTGTAGAAGTACCTGGTAGTGTCTGCAAATAGGGTTGCAGAATAAATCATCTGGCTGAATATACAGGGGGAGTGCGAGTTGACAGAATGAAAATAAATGCCCAGTGTGAAACCTGGCTATGGCAGCTGACTGATTCCCTGTATTAAAAGAAAAGAAAAGAGAAAGTATGGGATCCCTAATGGGCAGGACTTTGGTTTTATGCCTCAAATGAGAGAGAAGGTGAGTTCTCAAAATGGGGAGGGAAACCAAACCATGCATTTGACATGGTGAATGGCTTTTGAACATAGGAGTGGATGTTGGTTTCCCTCCCCTCTCAAAATGGGGAGCGAAACCAAACCATGCATTTGACATGGCGAATGGCTTTTGAACATAGGAGTGGATGGGAGAGTGAGTGTGTCCGTGAGGAAGCGTGTCTCTGAACCCTAATCAAAGTGACTTTGCCAGGATGTTGGAATGATGCAAGATCTTGTAGGAAAGAGGTTTGAGGTGACCAGGGAGAAGGAAACTGTGATAGAGCTGGCTTGATGGGAGAAGTTCCTTGGGATTCTGCTGTTTCCCTCTAAGCTTGAGCCTCTCCAAGGGGAAGCATCTAACTGTGTAAAACTCTTTAGTTTGGGGATCATGGTTGCTTAACATGGGTGGAGAAAAATAGGGAGTAAATATCAAAACATTTTACTCTTTTGAATGAGGGTTGAGTGATGGCTGTGATCTGCCAGAGGATCAGGTAAAACTAGTGGAGACAAGAAGTAAGAGAAATGTAAAGGCAAATTTCTTGCTGCTATCAGTAGGGTGAAAGGAGTGCATCTTTCCAGCTTGTGTTTATGTATCTCAGTCTGCCTCCTTCTCACACTTGCAGAAGCAAAACGGTGCAGACACATCTTTTTCTCTCTGCCCGTGGCATCTCATGTACAGTAACATTTGGGACATCCTTTGGGTTCAAAATGGATGTTACAGATGGTATTCATAGTTACAAAGTGCCACAAAAAGCATCAGTGTTAGAGCAACTTGAACGTTACATTGTGATTCCTTTAATGGAAAATGTAGCCAAACGGTTCTGATTACCCTGGGGCTTTTAACTATTATATATTTTGTATATATACACATATATACATATATATATGTAAGTAAAGGCCTAAATTTGACTTAGGTCACTGAGGATGTTAAGCTGGTTGAGTACCAAGAAGACTTTCATTGGACTACAATATTCTTATTTGTTATTTTATATTTTACCCTGAGTTATTTTGATGCTATATTAAACCTGCACCGTTCATCAGTGATTTGGGAACAAGATTGTTGATAAAATGGTGTCCCTGCCCCAGTCCAAGCCAGATTCAGCTGGGGATGCAGTTCCACATTAGTTACACCTCTGGGGTTGCTGGATGAGGAGCTGATGTATTTCAGGGATAAATTCTCAAGTCGAATATGTAAATCTCGATCTTTTTGTTTTGAACTCAGTTATCAACTTGTAGCTCACTCCATGTTATGACTGAAAAGGAGGAGTAATCATAGTTTTTTGGGTTTTTTTTGTCTTTGCTGTTTTAGTGTCTCAGAGATAAAGATGGAGAAGGTGCTATCCAGCCTGATGAAAGATAATCGCTTCAAATTACCCAGATCAGGAAACAAGGTGAGCTGTTTTTCTGATTTGTAATTACTTCAGTTTTTGTTTACCAGTCAAATATGATAAATATCCCTCTTTAAGTTTCCTTCTTTACAATCTAGTGTTAGTAAATTCATCATGCCAGGCAATGCAAGTAATTATAGATTTGTCTTGTTTTACAATTTTCTAATCTTTAAGCTGTCCCCCCAGATCAGCCTCTTCTAAGTCTCCAGCATAAATTTTGTAACAGTCAGTAAGCATTTCCTGGCTGCAGAAATTATTTTTATTTTTCTCCCAGAGTTTCCATTCATGCCTGGCATCTTTTTACTGACTTCCACAAGCTTTGGGTTTGCCTTTGAGCTGCTAATTCATAAAATTCAGGCCTTTGCAGTTGATGTTTTGGGCAGTCCTGCATTCTGGCAAACTTAATCCCCTAAGAGCCCTCATTGTGAATGGAAGTCAAAAATGGATTGAGTGTGATGCAGCTTCTTTTTTTTTTTTTTTTTTTTTTTTTCCTTTTTCTTTCTTCTTGTTACTGTTTTGCCATCACATTCTTTGTGTTATGCTATGTATGAGCCTCTGACCTGGCCACCCACTTCCCGTTTCCTGCAGATGACTCTTACAAACTGCAGTGTTTTGGTAAACATGCTTTTGAAAGATGCTAAGTTTCCCTGAATTTCACAAAAAGCCATATCTAGGATTTGGTTTTCAAAAAGTGGCAGGAGGTCTTGCCTGCTGAATAATGTTGAAAATCAGAGCCTGCTACTTGAGAAAGTTCAAAATCATTGATCCATTTGGAAATTTCTGGCCTGAACATCTCTGCGCCTTTGTATCCTTGCCTGTGGCACAGCAAGAATAAGTTAACAAGGCTGTTTGTTATCAAGACTGATCAGATGGATATTTCTACAGTACTTTCAAATTGTAAAATAATTAGCATAGCACATTAAACCTTTTCTTGCCTCAAATATTTTTCTCCAGTCTTTCTTCATTTCAAAAATGAAAAGTAGAGCAACCAGTATTTGAAAAGTGGATATTGCTTTCCTTTTTGCTCTGTAGTAAGGCCTGGTCAAGCCAGGTGGTATCCACAGATAAGGAGCCAGGTCCTTTCCCTTGCAGTCAAAGGTGAGGTTGAATCCCTCTCTTCCCTCTGCTTTCAGAGTGAATGGAATTTTGGTGTTGACTTCTCTGGAGCTGGGATATAACTACTCTTGTTTTAGGATGATGGTCTGAATCTGCTGCAGGAATTTATAAATACATAATGAACCTATTTTTGAGTGACTCGGAGTCTTAAAGGTTTGGGGCTGAAATCAAATTTCTCTTTATGGAGAGAAAAAAAATCTGTACGATTTATTGAGGATAGAAATTAAGGCAACTTGTCCCTATCACATAGAGTTTTTCAGGATTTACTCTAAACCATATATTAAAAGCAGTCAAGGATTTGTTCCTTTTGTTAGAGTTCCATTTTATTGCCATCAGAAGTTCTGCTAATGGTCTGCAGTGCTTCTCAGCTGCCACAGAGGCCTGTTCCTAAGGTTCAGGAGGATTAATCTCTCCTAACGTCTGGAAATTCATCACGAAGACCATCCAGTGAGTGGGGAAGGCGATGGGCAGTGCGCAGGGCTGAGGTGATTGGGTCCTTGCTGTGAAGAAGTGCAGGGCTCAGATCCATGTGTGACGTTGCCATCTGAGAGAGCTGGCTCTGCTCATCGGCTCTGCATGCATCGAATCATGTATATATTATAGCTGTGCACACAGAAATCTCATTATAATGCTCTTCGGTTCTCGTTGCCTCGACTGAAGTCCATTATAAGTACCCCGTTGGAACACACATTTTTTGGGTTTCTCTGTGCAGCCAGGGAGCAAGCTGCAGTGCCTGTAAAATGTATATTTTATATTTAGGTGTATAAAATATATATGTGGCTATGTCTGGGTGTGTGAATGTTCACCTGCCTACAAAGAGAATAAATTTGATCTTTCAACTTTTATGGAGGGGGGGCAAGGGGACTTGGTGAGTTCTAGAGAAGATATGTGGAGGTTAGTAAGAAGATGTTATTAAAACAAAATCCTTCATTTTGTTTTTAAGTATCATGGAAGCTGGAGATGTTACAGTCTATTTTTCTGACTTCTTTTTTCTTTTCCTTCCCCCTCCCTATCTCCCTCCAGTTTTAAGAGAGACCATCTCTCCCTCAATTTAGTCTTTATGGGATCAATCTCCTATCCCATTAACCTACTCTCTTAACAAATCAGAGACTTTCAGTAGCTATCCCATCCTCTTAGACCTAGAAACTACAGTCTTTATAACCAGAAGTTTGTTTCTTCTGAGGGAGGATAACTTTTTCCCCAAAATCTTTTTTAATAGGCTTTTGAGTGTATGATGTGTGGGGTTTTTTTTGTTCTTTTTTTCTTTTTTCTCCTGATATCTTGAACAACCTAAATAGCATTGCAACAACATCCATTTCTTTTTTTTTTTTTAACCTTCTAGGTACTGCTGTTAGCTATATTCATTATGGTAGCATTTAGGGATCTTCCAGAATAGGTTCTTACTGCAAGCATACACAAGGTGGGAAAAGCTCTTCTACCCAACTATTTTTCCGTAATGGAAGTAACGTGTGTTGCTTAACAGGTGTAACAAATTCATCCAGATAGAGAGAAGATCAAGCAAGTCTCTGGGGTAGGCTTTTATCTTTTGGGCCTTGAAAAATGTGCAAGGGTCTCAAATTAATTGTCCCATTCATCCAAACCAGGATACCGGGAGGATTAAAGCTTGCTTGTGTGAGTAAAGCAGACGGGATGGCTTCCAGTAGACTTCCAGGAGCATCACTGTATTTGATGTGTCCAGACACTCACATGGTGTGCTGGTTTTATTTTCACAGTTTGCCTCTGAGTCAGTTTTAAATTTAGATTTTTTTTTAATATATATGTTTTTTATTTTTAGGTAAACCTCCGTAGAAGGCAGGAATCAAACACAGGCTTTTTCATGCCCATTAGGGGGCAATTTTAAAATGAGATCTGTCTCAAGGGGCAGAAGGGGATAAAAGACAAGGTGGAGATGGGAGGAGGGGAGAAGCTGTTTCCTGAGTACATTATGTTTCCTGCCGTTTGCTTTTTTCATTTATTTCTCTTGCACTGACCTCACACTTTGGAAATTATGCACCTAGTTTTTTATCCCTCATTTTTGTCTTACTTTTTTTTCCCTCCCCCCGCACCCGGCACCAGGAAGAAGAGATGCCTCATTTTGAAACCTAAAGGGGGGAATAAGAAAAGTCCTTTGTAATATATTGCCATATTATCACTAAATCCCCTGACAGTTGTGACACAGAAGCAAGTCACCTGTCACTTAAGCTTGAGGTCTCTTTAATTTTCTCCTGGAATTCGCACCAGGCTGTCTTTAATTTGAGGCCTTTATTGGAATTCTGAAACCTTTCTGCCTCCCCGGTGCTCAGATCTATTCTGAGTGCTGTTACAGAATGTATACAATAACCAACAGAGGGATTCAGAGGGGGCTGAAGCACTGTTTATTTAACACTCTGGAGGGATTTTCGTGCTTATTCGGTCCTGGCTACCCGGCTTTCAATATCGCTTTGACAACCGTTATGCCCTTCTCATTAATTTTAAACAGTTAAAACACAGGAAAAAGAGAAAAAGTTTTCATTATTAAAGTGCTTTACTTTTTAATAACAGAGGATTCTGTCCGCCAGGGGAAAGGGCAAACCTCACTAATTTCACATTCATATTAAAAAACGCCGGGAAGGTGACACTATGAGCTGCCAGGAGGCTTAACAAAAGAAAAGGGATGGGGGTAGGAGGAGCGGGAAGCGGGGGGAGAAAGTTTTATGTTTCACGTCAATGGAAACTTGTTAGTCACAACAACGAGTGTCCACTTTGGGGAGGCAGCACCACTTGTAGTTTATTAAATCTTTACAGGGGCCCCTTGCCTGGGGACCGGCTCAACTGATTAATAGGTGCCTGTTAAGTCAAGCTAAAACACGGCTGTGAGGCAGCCTGTGTTGTCAGTGTCTCTTGGATGCTTTGGGAGGTGGGTAGCAGAGACCACGAATTTGGGAGACTGTTTATGTAGCCTCGAAATATCCAGTGTTGTTTTTGCTGGAGACATAGATGGGCAGTGGGCCAGGTGGTGAGCGAGCAGGAGGTCCAGGCCCTAAATGTGCTTTGCTGAAGAGTGACCCAGAGACTGGAAATTGGATCCTGAGCTCCAGAGAGAGCCCTGTGCAGGGAACTTGGACTGTGCTTGGGGCCAGTGCCTGGGCAGGCAAATCTATCTGGGAAGCAAAACTTGGGAGGACTCGGCACGTTTGTTGCCTTGGCACAGGCCTAGTCAGAGCAGTGGAGGTTTGCTGTCAGCAAGCCCTGGTTGGGAGTTGACCCAGTAGCAAAGTACAGACTTGGACCTGGCACTCTTAGACTTGGATGCTAGTTCCTCTCTGAGCAGCTTTTAAGATGTGGCCTGTGTCTGGGAGAGATTTGCACCCATGGATGGCTTTGTCCTTTGTCAGCTTTCCATCAAAAAATTTCCTGTTCTCTTGTCTGCATTTCCCCCCCTCTGCCCAAGTGCTTCAAGCCCAAAAGGAGCAAACTCCTTTTCTTCTCCCATTAATAGTTGATCCCCAATAATGTTTGCTTTCTGTTCCCTGAACTAAGTCTTTTGACATGATCATAGATAGGCTTGAACACCAACAAAGCTGCCCTTCTGGTCTAAGGAAGTTTCTTCTGTCGTGTCTTTGGTGCAAGGGGCTTATCTTATTCCAGAGGAACCACCTTGTTGACAGTGAACTTTATGCAGGCATCAAGCGTGAGAAGAGCATTTTGGTTGGATTTGTTCACTGGGATTCATTGTGGTCTGTTCTTTGGAGCTTGAAGATGCAAGTAGATCTCCTGCCCCATTGGTGCCAAGAACAGGCCAGATGTTCAGTGCAGCTGTTCAGCACAGTTAGGGGAACTTACAACATTAGTTCAATACAGTGGTAAGAGTGGGCTCTGTGGGGTCAGTGTAGATTCTGGGGGAATTACCCACTTATTTCCAGTGGGTTTATCTGGCCTGTTGAGTCTGTGGAGAAGAAAAAAAAAAGAGGGGAAAATAGGAAAAATATACATAATAGATGTTAGAAGACATAAAATTAAAACTGATTTGCTCTCCTCAGCAGGCATTGCTCACTGCATGCTTTGACTTTAACATCTTTATCTATACTTTTTTTTCGTCTAGTAATATTGAGAGGATTACCTTTGTTGGCCCCTGGGTGGTTACTTTGTGATTTTACTGTTATTAAATCTATTGTAAACTGCTTCATTATTCCTGACTCAAATTCTCTTTCCTCTAATCCTCCCACCGCCCTTGCAGAAACCCTGTGGCGCAGACCCTCAGCAAGTCCGGGAGCGGGCCACGGTCCTGCAGACGAAATTTGAGAATTATGTCCACTCCAGCGAGGGGACTGTCCGGTGGGCAAAGAAAGGTTAGTGCCTTTCCATTCAGCTAATTCCAGAAGGGCTCATACACACTGCTAAGGTTTTCCTCCAGGGGAAGGCTTCAGGGAAAAGGCCTGGAAGAAACATTTTGGGGCCATTCGGCTCTGCAGGGGGTTGGGAAAGGCCCAGAAGGCTTTGTGATGATATTAAATGTTAATTTCTTGCATTCCCATATTACGTGCAAATGAGGTTTAATCTTGCCTTAAATCAGTAGGATTTGCATCCGAGGGCTCTGACCCAATCACATCAGCAAGTAGATGTGTGTGTTAACACTGGGAAGGTTGGAGGTGGCTGCTTAACCCCATCCTGGTGCAACGCCACTAGATGCATTCGGTTTACACCAGGGACAAATTTGAAGGCTGTAAGACAGGATACCTTGGGAGCAACTCATAATAGTCGAGGCTCTCACAGTGGAGGCTGTTGGGTGGGAGAAGGGCAAGAGAGAGCAACCACATATAGCAAAATGGCAAGAAGAGGGAAAACTGAGAGGGATTCAATAATTGCAGCTAGGTGCAAGTTTTAGATTTGCTCTTGAGTCTTTGCCCAACAGGACACTCAGCAAATGTCACTGAGCAGTTCAAGGAGCTCTTTCCTTCTGCTTCTCAGTTTCGAAAATCCAGAGCCTCCTGGATATGGAGGAAAAAAAAAATCTTGCCATGGAAATGGTAGGAGAATAAACCCTAAGCGGTCTCCCGAGAGGAGCCAAGAAGATGGTGCAGTGTAGGAACCCCTCTTCTGCCTGCGGTTCTGCTACCCTGCCAGGCTGGGCTGGGCTGCACCCAAAAACTGAATAGCTGCTGTGAAGGCAGTGTTGGAGATCTGGCCCCAGAGGTCCTTGACAATTAATTGGATTTTGGTCATTAAATATTGAGAGAAGGTCACAAAATGTAAGCCCTCTGCGCTCCATTTTTTTTTTTTTTTTTGAGTGTCTCCTTATGTTTCTCTCTGCCCAGTCATTTCCTTTTGTACCTCATTTGTCACTTCTGTGAGATGGATTTGAACACTCTACATCATTTCTATTTATGAAGAAGTACACCTGCTCTGTGTATAAGTATGCATTCCAAGTGTACTAAAGTACATAAATCACGTACTGAGCAGTCCAAAAACAAGTCTTCATTAACACTGTAATCAAGAGAAGTGTTTGAGTATGTTCCCAAGAAATTAAAGATGTTGTTTTGTTTTGTTTTCTGAATGATGTACTGACTTGCTAGCTGATAACACAGCGGAAGGACCAGAGCTGGTAGTATAACTGCCTGCCTACCTACCCCAAGTTTTTTTGTGTGCTTTTAATGATACAGGCCCATACTGATGGGAGAGGTATTTGGAATCCAACTGTTTCGTTCTTTGCTTTATCCCAGTCTGCTGCGTGTCACTGCTGTTTTTCTCATCCCCTTCAAGGGTTGCAGTGCTGATTTTTTCCTCAGGCTTTTGAAATGCCTTGCCCTGCAAGGGAGGTGTTGGAGGCTTGCTGCGTAAGCTGCTTGCTTGTCCCGATTTTCAGGTGACTTGTGCTACATGATTGGTACTCTCTGACTGCAGTTTTAAGCCCCGGATCTCCAAGCACGTGATGAATGCAATCAAATCCTTGATTCTACATGTATGAACTTCTTGTTCCTCCCATGGGACAGCTCCTACCCCACACCAGCCTTTAATATGAAGTGGCTGTGACAGAGAGAAGAACTGTTGGCTTTAGTCACACTCAAAACCATTCTGATCTCTCTGTGTACCACGTATGTCACTGTGCACACACACACACAGATACACGCATTCACACATACACACACTTGTTGCTGACCTGAGTGCTGATAACTTCTTCAGCCACAGCCAAGAAACACAGAAAATCTGTGAGGAAATGCTGAAGCGTGATGCATCCCATTTCTCTTCCACGAGGACCACTCCACCGTTTTCTTTTTCCTCCTCTGCCATCTACATATGCAAATTTTCCACTGCTGACTGGCTTCCATGAGCCCCCTCTTCCTCCCCTCTGCGCCAGGCATCATGAATAATTAACATGGCAGCTGGCTTTTGCTTTCATGGCAGACAATCAATTGGAAACTGTGCCAGAGATGCATTTGTTTCCCCCGTCTCTCCCTTTTTTTTCTTCTTTTTCCCCATTTTCTGACCTAGTCAGTGTTAATAAGCAGTGTTTTGATTGCCGCCGCTTTTCAAAAGGCGAGTGGCTCCCTGCCCGCTCGCCCCTCCTGCCTCCCAGGCCCCTGTTTTCTACTCTGAGATCGAAGAGGCCGGTGAAGGTGCTGCCCTTCCAACTTGATTGACTGTGAGGTGGGGTGGGAGGCAGAACATGGCTGCGCTCTGCTGCCTGAAGGACAAATCTCCTGGAGCCCCTTCGGAGAAGCGGAGGCCTCTCGGATGGCGGGACGAGTACTCCGTTTGGGGACTGTGATGGCAGATGGAGCTGGGGAGGTTGCATTTTAATCCTTGGCATCACTGTTGTTGTGGAGAGGTTGTGGAAGTGAACGTTGCGTTTCTCTTCCATCTTATCCTATTTTGTAGCCAGAAACTGAACATTTTGCCTCACTCTTTCTGTGCTGGGCACACATGCATGGAGGGAGGCGGCACAGCTCTCCTAGGAGGCCACTGCTGCCCCACGGCACTTCTGGCAGTGACTTTTCTGGTGTCTTCGTCCTTCCCATTCCCAGGTGTCCCGTGAGCTGGCAAAGCGTCTCCCCCCATACCCAGGCCTGGGGCTGAGGCTGCGCTCCGGGGCCAGCGCCGAGAGCGCGGTGACGGGTTCTGTCACCTGTCTTGCTTTCATATCTCATTGCCCTCTTGACAGACCTAGCTAGCATCCATCATATGGAACTCTGCTGTTTGCTGTTGTCTGCGAGCACTTTGGGGTTGGCGGTAGACCCTTGTGACACTTGGATTCCCTAACTCTGCTCCGTGGAGCTGGTACCAGTAGCCTTGGTGTGTGAGGTGGGGCGGGAGGTGAGCTTGGCCTTTGTATCAGAGTCCTTCATATCCAGCCATTTCACCTGCTCTGAGAGCGGCTCTGTTAGCTCTGACCAGACCAGGTTCAGAGCAGGAGCAAGTTCGAATCATTCCTTTTGAAGAGTTATGTCTTCTGTTGAGGGTCTGAATTTGACCAGCAGCTTTATGAAGAAAAACAAAAAGCCAGCAGAACTGGATTTTTGAGAGCGTTTGAGCTGGTTTACAGTTCCTCTGAGGGATAGGCTTCAGATGAGACAGCCAGGCTGGGTATATGGAGGTTAGTATTCTGTTTTGGAGAAACACAGGTCTCCTCAGGTTCAGATGCCTCTGAAAGAATGGCATTGTGAAATTGGGAAAAAGGTGCAAAAAACCTCAATCTTTTCTTCTTATCGATTGGGAAAAGGAGTTCGCTTTACTCAGTAAACAGAGCTTTGATGGATTCCCAAGGTCCTTCCAGGAGCTGATCTGCTAAAATGACATTTTTATTACTGTTCATAAACTCCAATCTCCTGCTGCTGCCAAGAGATTAGACTTAAGCTGTGGGCAAACTTGCTGGTCCGGTGGCTCAACAGGCAAGGGCAGGAGAGGTTAGAGTTTAGAGCTTGCTGCTATCAGGGGCTGAGAGAGAGATGTAGGTGATGGTTGGAGCGAGGGTTAGGGGGGCACAGGAGGGTTAGCAAGCAGCAGGGCAGCAGGGGATCGAAGGGAGGCGTTTTCAGGGCTGAAGAGTTTCCTTACTAAAAGTCTCTCTATTTCTCGTAGCAGAGAGGACAACTCAAGTGTAGTTAGTGCTCTGGGTACGTGGAGGAGCAGTGGCAGCGCTCGTATTAGTGGATGATTGTCTTTAGAGCAATGAGCCCTGAGGGAAGGGCATTACAGGAATATAAAGACATGAAGGAAAAATTGCGCTTTTTTTTTTTTTTTTTCCTCCTTTTGAGTAGGTGAGCTCTGTTCTCGGTGTGATGATGAGTCAGGAAATCCATCTAGCGCTCAGATATTTATAAGGGACTAGCTGGTAACTGGTGAAAAATGCATGGACTACTGGGACTGTAATATCAGAGGAATCTGCCTATCCTACCTCCATGCTTCTTATTCTTTATCTTCATCCCTTGCATCTCTCCTTCCTCTCTCCCCTATCTGCTACCATTAGATCTCAACAACTTCTTCCTGTGAGATGTGCTATAAACATCACTCTTTGCAGCAGAAGGGGCAGCCTTGCAAGAGGCAAACCTAGTGCAATTTAACATACCTCTGTTTCGGCACCTAACCCTTCTTCACTGCCTTTCTTCTCCTTATGGGATTGTACTAGTAGTGCACAACAACCTTCACGGATTTTCAACCTGCCAACCTTTTCCACCAGCTGCTGACCAGAAGGTGTCCCAAAGGATAAGACCAATGTCCTTTCAGATGGAACAGCTGAATCTTAAAGTATGTGTGTGTAAATATATATATATAAAAGTGCAATGGCAAACAAAATTCATTCTTTTTTCTTTTTTTTTTTCCAGCACTGCAGTCTTTCCTTCGTGCCTATACCACCTACCCCAGAAACCTCAAGCACATCTTCCACATCAAGTCTCTCCACCTGGGTCACATAGCCAAGAGCTTTGGCCTGAGGGACGCCCCTCAGAACCTGAGTGCTCTTCCAAATGCTGGCTCCAAGAAGAAGATCAAAGCAAGACAAAAAAGGTGGGTGAGCTCAACGTTCTGGAGCTGAGGAATGCCATGTTACGAGCCACAGTGTGCTTGTCTCCGTGAGGTTCATGTGCTTGCTAAAAGAGATCACAAGCAATTACTCCTGAAGTGCTAAACCACGCTGAACCATTGCCTTGGGTTGTATTGCTCCCTGAGCTGTAGTTGCATTCTCCATTTTCTTTCCAAAGGCTTTAGAGAGTCTAAAAATTGCATTTATTATTAAACCAACTGGGTTGAACATTTGAGTGAGAGCACTGTTTTAAAAACAAACAGCTCACTTTGTAGTTTGACTTCTAATAAAGATGCTCCTTCTTTGAAGGAGGTGCAGAGAGGCACCTATATAGATTAGCCTGGGTTTTGCTGCAGCTTTTCCATTTTATGAGTACTTGAAAAACAATAACTCTTATGAGTCTTATAAGCAGAAGCAGCCTAATTTTTATTTATTTATACTTCTCTCCAGAGCTATCTTGAGGGATAAGGAAGGATATAGGCAATGTTCCAGAGAAAAATGCAAGACTATTGCCATATATTGGAGTGGTTCTTTTTCTTGCACAGGGCTTGGTTCCTAGAGGTCCAGCAACAGTCTTGCTGTTGTGGCCAGAATAGGTGCTGATTTATCTCACAGGATAATCTGCTTGGTTTTGTCAAATACTGACTGTTCTTCCTTCTTTTATCTGTTCCAATCCACTGCACGGAAATGATCTTCCTGCCTATCTAGTTTGACTACATGACACACTTTTTCTCTCATAGCAAAGTATGTGTCTTACTCTATTTTAAAGGTCTTCTGTGGCCACCTCTAGCCCCTTTTTTCACTTTCTCTACACCATACAATCTCTTGTGGGCTACTCCTGCAGTTTCAAAAGCAATTTCTTGGCTGTCAGATTGACCATGGGACAAATTCTCGCCATCCTTTTAGAAAGGTCAGGTGCAGCTTGGTCTACCTATTCTGTATGGCAACATTAGCTCTGACCAGGAGAAAAGGGGAGGACTGTACTGTATTTTTTCTCCTTATTTCTTAAAAGATCAATTGCATTTATGTACATACGAGCCCAAGTCAAAATGCAGATCTGTTGGTATGAATGAACCATCTACAAGCTTGTGCTCTACTGCCTTTAGATTTCAGTGGTTCTGGCAACAGCATTTCTGCAAAATCCTATGTCATCTCTCCCAGGGAGATTCTGCAGCAGACTTAGAGTTACAGCTCTATCCCTTTGAGTGCATAGAAAAAGTCTAGTCCTGGGCATGTTTAAGGAACTTGAGATACTCTGGTGATTCTGAGGAGTTGTCTTGAATAGCCTCATCTGCTTCCAGTGGGGCTGGCAGTGCTCAGTATGTCCAATTCTAGCTGCTTTGAGTTGCTTCCACAAAATAGATGGTCCTTTCTTTTGAGATACAAAGCAAGGACTCTGCTCTGCTCCCCAGCATCACAGCAGAATAGAAACTCCTAGCTTGCCTGTAAAATCGCTAATAGTGTTCAGAAGAGGAAAAATCTTTTCTTTATTGGTTTCACTTGTGACTCTTCCTGTGTAATTGTTGCTGCACACTCCCTTACTAAATGTTACCCGTGCAATTAAAACATTAATCCGCATAATGATTCCTAGGCTGGTGACATCTCTTGCAAATGTACAGATCTTGGGGAGGGAAAGAAAAAAAGAAAGAAAGAAAGCTAAGGGAAGGGATTTTGAAATAAAAAGTTGGAGACAGCATTGTCCTGCTTTGAGAAGCCACCAGGGACAGGCCACTGATCTGCCTCCTGCTTCAGCTGACCCTCACCAGCAGATGGGCACCAGGATGGGAATGCCCCTGTGAGCAAGGGATTTAACGGAGCTTTATTTCAGGAAGAATAGCCTGATTAGCTGATAAAGAGCATGTAAGATGGTATGGGGTGGGCTTTGATGTGTTGCTGGCCCAGCAGGGTGTCAAGCTATGACTGACAGTAGCGTGTCACAGGATTACTTGGCCTGCACAATGCCTCTCTCTGTTCCTGTGATGTTGCTACTCTGTTAGAGCTACTTTTTCCCTTGTCACACACCTCTTTTAGATGGCATTCCTCCTCCCCAAGTCTTCATCCCATTATAGTACAGACAAGCTTAGGATACAGTAGTCGTTTACGCACAGGATGCGTGGGGTTGGGGGGACATGGAGGTCCCCCCATAGAACAAATGCTGTGAGAGTGATTTGAAAGCTCATTTGCACGTGGGGTGGATAATTGCAGCTCGGGGAAAGTGGGCAGACTTTGCACAGCTTCGTCACGGCTCGTGCTCCAGATTTCAAATCTGGGAGCATCTGGAAAGTTAAGGCCCTGCAAAATAGCCAAAGTTGTGTCATGCAACGATTGTTCTTGCCTATGAAACTTGTTTCTAATTAACTTTCTCTGCATGTGCTTGGAGAAGAGGGAAAAAAAAGAGGGGGAGGGTCAGAGAAAGAGGATGTATTAGTATTTATAGGATAGTTTAGAAAAAAAAAAGTGAGCGTAGAATCAGATTTGGTATCTGCCACCATAAATTCAAGATAGTGCTATTAATTTACAGAGAATTACTTTTGATTTCACACTGACAAAGCAGGAAGCAAAATTTAGCTTGCTATTTAGAAGACAAATAGTTTTCAATTGTAAAGTGCAAGGCTTGAAATGATAGCAGCATAGTCACAGAGCAATCTTTTTAATTATATTTCTCACGTGATACCGTGGGTGTTGGTTGTCGTATTACGCGTTGTGGCCAAACATTTGATACTTGTTTTTAATCAGCCTGCACACTAAAGCCTCATCTGTCAGCACCTGCCCTGAGAATAAAGAGCAGGCGGCCCAGGTAGAGAACGGGGTAAAGGGGATCATTAAATGTTTCCTTAAGAGAACAAAGAAAACTTTTCATTTCTTTTCACATCTCCTTTTGTGCTTGCTGCCTCCTTCCAGAGCCTGCTTGGGGAAGGTGAGATGGGAAGCCCTGGCAGCCAGGTGTGTGATGGTTCTCAGTGCTAAAATGTGGAAGAAGCCCCTTCCT